GTATAAAAAGTATGATGTTTGTGTGAACAATTGCATTTTGTATTATGGAGAATATGAAAGTCAGTGTTATTTACAATGCCCGGTATGTGAAGAGCCACGATTTAAGCAGCGTGATGTGCATTCTGCTAAACCTATACCAAGAAAGTCTTTGTGGTATCTTCCAATTATTCCTAGACTTCAGAGATTGTATATGTCTAGGAAAACTGTCGAGCATATGACGTGGCATTTAAATTGTTATAATGAAAATGAGAAAATTTTTCATCCTGCATGTGGAGAGGCATGGAAGCATTTTGATAGCACTCACCCTGAGTTTGCTAGTGAATCGAGGAATGTTAGGTTAGGTCTGTGCATTGATTGTCTCACTCCTTTTGGACATTCCGCATCTCCATACTCTTGTTGGCCAGTATTTGTGTCAGTTTATAACCTGCCTCCAACAATGTGCATGAAGCAAGAATATGTATTCCTTTCATTGATTATCCAAGGTCCCCAAAGTCTTGGAAAGAATATTGATGTAATGCTTTGACCACTAATCGATGATTTAAAGCAGCTTTGGTATTCTGGAGTCCAAACTTATGATAGCTTTAGGCGTCAATACTTTCTGATGAGGGCTGCACTTATGTGGACCATTAGTGACTTACCTAGGTATGGAATGTTGTTTGGGTGGAGCACACATGGTAAATTAGCTTGTCCCTATTGCATGGAAAATTCGAAGGCTTTTTGGTTGGAATACGGTCGGAGGACATCATTTTTTGATTGTCACCGACAATTTTTGCCACGAGATCATCCATTTAGAAGAAACAAGAATGACTTCATAAAGGGTTGTATAGAGAATAGAACAATGCTAGAGAGATTGTTTGGTGATGAGATGCATAGTCGCATCCATTGGCTGCTTGATGTACTATTTGGTATGCCACCTCAGAAACAGGAAATCCACAGATTTGGTGAAGTGCACAATTGGGTTAAAAAGAGCATCTTTTGGGAATTGCCATATTGGCACACAAACTTGATTCGACACAATTTAGATGTCATGCATTGTGAGAAAAACTTTTTTGACAATATCCTTCATACAGTAATGGATGACCCTATGACAAAAGATAACATAAATGCAAGACTTGATCTGGAATTATATTGTAAAAGGAAAAATCTGCACATACCGAAAACATAAGTGAATTCGGGTAAAAAGCCAAAGGCCACTTATGTTCTTAGTAGGGATAAAAGAAAATCAATATGTCATTGGTTGAAGGAACTTAAATTCCCTGATGGATTTGCCTCCAATATATCTCGGTGTGTCAATACACAAGAGGCATGATTATTCGGTATGAAAAGTCATGACTGTCACATTTTGATGCAAAGCCTTATACCAATTGCATTTTATGATTTATTACCGAAACAAGTTTGGGAGCCACTTGTTGAGATTGATGAGTTCTTTAAGGCCTTGTGTGCTCTGGTGATTCAGGTCAATGACATGGCAATATGGCAGAAGAGGACAGTAGAAATCATTTGTGAGCTAGAGCGAATCTTTCCACCTTCATTCTTTGACAGTATGGAGCATCTTGCAATCCACCTTCCATACGAGACCCATGTAGGAGGACCATGTAGGAGGACCAGTGCAATTTCGATGGATGTATCCATTTGAGAGGTAAATATAATTAATGTATAATATATGAAAATAAATATAACTCCATATATGATATTTTGTTGCATTGAGGTTAGAATACCAATTTGGTACTTCAACTTTCAATTTTATATCAAAGCTACCATTGAACTTAAAAAAGAATTAAAAATGGTCCTTTCAAGGATCATTTTGAAACTTTTTACAATTTTAAGGGTATATTTGATATAAACTTAGAAGTTGAGGTACCAAATTAATATTTTAATCATAACATAATTATATAATAATTCTTGGTGAATCAGGCGGTTGCATTGTTTTAAGTTGAAAATGAAAAACAAAGCACGTCCTGAAGCATCCATATATGAAAGTTACATAATGTCTGAGATCACAAATTTTATCTCTCATTACTTTAATGATGGAGTACATAGTACAATTGATAATGCCCCTAGAAATATTATTGTTGGATTTGGTGATAATAGTGGCATCTTTAAATGTGTTGGAAAACGTATTGGTTCCAAAATTGAAAGACATTGCTTGACGGTAGAGGAACGAAAAGCTGCTTCGTATTATGTGTTAATGAATTGCGAAGAATTGCGAGGATGGGTCAGGTAAAAAACCTACACTAA